AAGGCATCAAGAGCCACCACACACAGAAGTGTCAAGGAATTTGGCTACAGTTGTCGTATTCCTCTTGTTATTCCTCTTGTTAAGCCACTCCTGAACCACAGACAGTGTTCAGTGATACAACATGTTTACTGTAAATAGTGTAGATTGGTGCAATATTTTCAGTAGTTTTTGAATAGTTTCTGTTACCTATTTTGGCACTGAAAAAAAGAAAAAGAAAATGGTTGACACAAAACCCTGAAATAATGTAGACCAAATGTCTACAGAGGCTACAGCGATACATTGGGCTTTAGATGAGAAAATATGATTTCTTGAAAATCCCATAATCACTTTATAAAAGAAAATTAAATAAATAAACAAATAAATAGATTTTTTTTAGCCACAAGTGCAATTTGTTTTCTGTTAATGTACTTGACATGATTTTATATGTTAAGAATATTTCATTCATAAATAGCAAGAACTTCACCAGAGAAGGATCCCCTAAGGTTACATGTTTGTTCTTGTTGCTGGTACCAACAGTTCGTTTTATCTGCATCTTGTTGCGATGTGAAGAGTGAAGTCAAGCACTTCTAAATGTCTTATCTCAGAAACAGATAAATCCCAGTTAGTGAGAAAAGCAGCACATAGGGAGACGTCCACGCTTACGTAACTAAAAGTCCATAGCAGCCACTCCAGAACAGCTAATCCTGCATTTAAGTGGGTTATTCAGCCGCTCGCAATGATGGTTTTCATCACCAAGTATACCCAAAACATCTAACATGGGAGATCTTATGTTAGTCTGGAAGAACACCATTAAGAAATAAGAAATTGATTAAGCCAGGCCATTTTTTCAATGAAGTGTAGAGGTTTACTCATTCAAACTTGGGAGATCCCATTGAAACCACAAAATCACAAGTAACTCTTTCATCAGTTTAGCATGTCCTATAGCATGTCCTTTTGTGAATGAACCAGCATGTGACAGCATACTTCAGGTGAAAGGGGCATGATAAAGAATGGACTTGTGGCTGGTCAATGTTTAGCTTGCATTTTTCAGAATACACCAACACATGATCAATGGTTTGGTTTGTTCAACAAAGGCAGTCCTGTTGCCTGACTATCTGATTCACAAACAGAGGAGAATGTCTTGAGGGCATCAGGAACTTTGCAGGGGCTGAGGTGCTATCAGTCATCATGTGGGAGATCAAAGAGCAGCCTAGAGACTGTCAAACAATGGAGGAAAACTAACAAAACTGACGAGAGAGGGAAAGAGAGAACAGAATGAGGCAAGAAGTAAAATCAGTAGGTCACTGAATTTTAACATTATAATCCGTGTGTATGTTGGCTGCATGTTAACCCAAAGGGAAAGAAAATATAACAACTGAAATCTCTTTAATATCTATAATGTCTAATATCTTTAGTATTTGTTTTCCCAAACATAAATGAGGTTAGACCAATGTGCACAAATGCTCCTCAGATGTTTCTACCAGGAAAAACAAACGCCAGACATTTTTATTCATTTATTTATTTTGTATTTTTAGTAGAAACAATCTCTTAGTAAAGTTATTACCAAGGAAAACTGGGAAAATGCCTACCAAATTAAATCAATGATTAAAAGAGAGGATTTTTGTGTTTGTAGATTAACTGTCACATTATATAATTTGTCAATCTTATTTACATTGTATATATATATATTTTTTTTATGAGTGATGCTTTATATCTTATATTATATTATATTTTTGGACTTGGGCCAGTATAGCAACTACCTATACCTATAGTACAGAATGATTTATAAAAAGTCCCCTTGTAGAGAAACGCCATTGAGGTTTCCTCTGGCCTCCTCACTGACTATTTGACTATATGCAAGTTAAACATGTTACTCCCTCCAGCCGTGTTTACAAAAGACAGGGAAATGCAGCCTCATGTGAGACACAAACACATTGTGCCTGCATGTGAGTCGGTGTGCCAAAGAATTATGGGTTTTTATGGCCT